TTAACTTTGGCAAATAAATATTTTATATATTTTAAAATAATTTGCAAGATTGCGAATATTAATATAAAAATAATCAATATCAAAAATATCAAAGTAGACTATAAATATAAATTCTATTTAATTTTAAAATTTTCAAATATATTCGAAAAATATAAAATATTGTAAGTATTAGTCTAAAGTTTTTTTTTTAACATTTTATTAATATATTTAGTATAATCAAAATAACTTAAAAATTAATCTGCAATAATAACAATGAAGTCTATTTAAAGTAAATTTTAATTTATTTATGCACATTGTGCATTATACTATTGTTAAGTAAATTTATTCTAGATTTTTATGTAATCGGGTATTTTTAAATGTACTAATGTAATTGAATTTAAGGGGTTTATTCGAAGTATATAAAATTTATGATTTTTTAAATTTTTAATTTTCAGAAAATTAATCATTATTCTAATAATTTAACCAATTAATATAAATATTTCGCAAGTTTGCGAATATATTCAAAAGTTTTCGAGTTTATTTAAATATATTCAAATAATTCTAATTTATTTTTATATATTAATTAATTAAAATTTATATAAAATTTTTTTATTATCTGTTATATCTATTATCTTTAAAATTATTCGAATTATTCTAATGTTATCAAATATTTAATTAATACTATTGTAATATAAATTTAAACTATTATAATAAATTCAAATAAATTAAATTAATTTGACATATTTTCACAATGATAATTGTTTTAAATGCTGTTGAAATCAATATATGTTCTTTAATAAATTCTGATTAATATATTTAGTATTATTTAAAATAATTTAAAACAATTCGCATTATGCTAATATATTTAAAGTTTTTGCCCTTTTGATCTTTTATCTTTAAAATAATATAGCAAATTTTAGTGAAATAATTTGAATAATTTATAAGCTACGCATTGTAAACAAATAATAACTTTTTATAGTAATTATCTTTATTTGCATATTGTGTATTATTCTATTGTTACTTAGAAGCATTTGGATTTTTATGTAATTGGGGAAAAAAAATAAAACTAAAAAAGATATTATAAAGCTATACTTTAAATATTTCAAAAATATTTCACAAGATTACGAAAATTTTAAAATATTTAAAAATAATTAATATTAAAGTAAAAGAAATAAATCTATTTTATTTTAAAAAATTCGAAATAATTCGAATTTAGTAGAATTTAACGAATTAAACTCTAATTTAAATTTTAATATTTTTAGATAATGAATTAAAGTTTAGAAAATATAGATAAATTAATAATAATTTAATTTATTCAATTAATCTTAAAATAAATTCAATATAATATTTATAAATTTAATATCTTCAATCAACTTCGCTAATTTCTATTTTAGATTATTATTGATTATATTCGAATCTAATCGAATTAAATTAAAGAAATAAAAATATTTTTATCATTATTTAAAGTAATCGAATTAAATATATTAAAAAAAAATTAATAAAATTTCATATAATTGTTTTTAATTCATCGAAATCAATTTATTTGTAAATAAAACTGATTAAACATTCAAAATTATTTTAATAAATTTAAAACAATGCAATAATTTAATAATTTATCCATTAAGTATTTAAAACAAATAATGACCATTTATAGAAATTTCTATATGTACATATTTTGGATTATTCTATTGTTATGTAAAAGCATTCTAGAATCTAATTTAATCGAGTATTTTTAAAAGGTAAAAATCAATGTAATTTAAATTTAAGGGGTTTATTAGAAGCATATAAAATATGATAATTATATTTAAGTTAATTGTTAGAATAAATTTATAAAATTTTAAATATTTCGCAAGTTTGCGAAAAATTATAAATATAATAAAAAATAATAAATAACAAAATAAACAGAAATATATCAAAAATTTAATATTATATTGTATAAAGAATTTTTATTTAGAAAATCTGAAATAATTAAATATATTCAAAATAATCCAAAACCATTAAAATAGCTTTGGAAATTTGTTTTTTAAATAGTTAAAAAAAAGTTCAAATATCAAAAATCTTAAATAATTAAAATTATAAAATTTTTAAAATGAATTATTTTGAAAAATTTTTAATTGACGTGAAATTGATCAAAAATAAATTGCGAATATATTCGAAAATTATGAATGTAATTCATAAATAATTAGCAACATTTTCATTTTATTATTCTAAATAGAAAATTAAGTAAAATTTGCTAAGATTCTAAAATAAAATTTGCATACGAAATAAATATAGTTTTAAAATATTATTAAATATTAAAAATCTATAATATATTGTATAAATTTTTATTTATGTTATCTCAAAAGATATTTTTAATAATATTTAATAGACGTAATATATTTCAGAAAAAATTAAAAAAAATTTGAATATCTTCAATATTTATAAATATATTAAATATAAACAGAAAAAAAAATATTCAGTAAATTATTATGGTCATAATAGTAGTTATATTATAAAATTGATTTAATATTCGCAAAGATATGATAATTATAATATTGAATTTTATTTTGAGTATTTCGAAATATTTCGCAATTTTACAATATTTTGTAATATTTAACAAGTTTTAGTTTTAGTTAAGATAATTCAGATTCAGTGAAATAACATCATATTTTTTTTAAATGAAATATTTAGAAATATTTTCGATAAACGCAATTTATTTTAAAAGATTTTAAAAAATACTAGTATTTTCGAAATAAATCAATGAAAACCACAATAAGTAAAATAGTTCAGCATTTTTGCTTTAATCATAATAATAGTTAAATAATCAAGATTTGTTCGATATTGGCTTAGATATGACTATAATATAATTTGAACAATTTTTACATTTTGCGAAATATTGCGAAATATTGTGAATGTTTGCGCAAAGGATTGAAATATTTAAATAACTTTCAAATTTTATCATTGTCATATCTAAGCTAATATTGAACAAATCTTGATAATTTATAAATTTTGAATATTTTCGAAATATATTGCATAATTTTACGTATCTTTCAATATTAGCAAATTTTTTCAAATTATTTTGCCTTTTCAAATTTTGCTGATATTAGTTGTATAATTTGACTTTTACCAAGTTATATAATCAGTATGCATTAAAATGAACCTATTTTTAAATTATTTTTTATTATATGAAATAATTTGAATATTTTAGTATAACTCTATTGTTCAAAATTTTTTCAATTTTTTGTACTACGCAAAAATTTCGAAATTTATTTCGCAATATTCTGAAATAATTTTTACAGTGCAAATATTTCGAAATTTATTTCGCAATATTCCAAAATAATTTGTACTGCGCAAAAATTTTGAAATTTATTTCACAATATTTCGAAATTATTGTGACATGCAAAATCTTTCAAAATATTTCGCATCTATAATTTTGCTGATGAAGTATGTAGTATACTAAAGAATCTGAGAACACATAGAAAAAACAATTATAGAGAAGATGAAACAAAAAATTTTAGAGAAATAGAATATCTTAATGCCAAGCAGAGAGCTAGCTAGAATCTTTTTTGTATCTAAACTAGAAGACAAACTTTAAAGAAAAAAACTACACCTCTGAGGACTAACTTGTAAAAAGCAGATCAAAGAAGTTAAAGAATTAGTAAAGTCAAGTTCTAAAACAAACTGAATTATAAGTTAATTTATAGACTCTTTCTAGTTAAACTTTTATAAAAGATTCTAGAAATTTTGCTACGAAGTCATAGTCAACTGAGAAAAAGAAAAAAGAATTAGCTAAAAGAAAAAAAAAGAAAAAAAGAAAAAGTGAAACAATAGATATGTAGCAGATAAAGAAAACAATACAGATCAAAATATAGAGAAAAAAGAGTCACAGCTTGACAAGAAAAAAAGGATCTTAAAAGAAGCAAGAAATAAGGTTACAAATTGGATCAAAAAAGGAGAATGTAAAAAATAGTTAAAATTCAAAAATAAGTAAACAGGCATTCTTGATATAAGCTAGAAGTAACCTTCTTTTGATCAAAACAGAAAGGACATATATTAGTATATATTCTGCTTTAAGAAGAAAATTTGCTGCTGTTGTAGATCGTATTTGGATACCAAACAGGCAATCGAGTGAGTCTGAAGTTGTAAAAAAAAAGCAGTCTTAAAATTAGAATAGTCTTAAAATAGGTTTAATTTTTTGTATTTGTCTTATTACTAGTTTAATAATTCTCTTAATAAAATGAAAGACAAGATCATCTAAGTATAAAAAAAAAAAATAATAATAATAATATAATAATAAAATAACTAAAAATCTATTCTATAACAATACAATTGACATGTTTTAATACATATTTAATGTTTTTTATACTTTATATTGTATAAAATTTGTAATACAAAATGCAAATAATTAATATTTATTTTTAATAACTAATCCTTTTATAATTTTATTTTATGAATAATTTTAATAATCCTAAAGCTAATTTAGATTTAACTAGTCTTTTTTTTGTTTTACATAAGGTTTGGCAGTTGTCTGAAATTACTAATTCTAATATTAAATTACTTTTATTATCTTTAAATACAAATAAATGAGCGCTAGCAAGAAAAAACCTTGAAACAGAAATAATAAACTATTTCGGTTTGATTGTTGGCAAGGAAAAACCTCGAACCGAAAATAAAAAACTATTATTTCCGGTTCGATTTTTGGCGAAATTAGTGATTGTACCCGGGTAAAGATTTTGTTTGAATAACATAGTATTCATCCGGGTCAACCCGGGTATTTAATAATACCCGAGTACGTAGTAATTTTCTCAACGGTACAAACTCTAGATTGATCGTCGGCCAATAAAATTAATTAAAAAACAAATGATCATCAGCCAATCAAATGGATTTTTAACTATGCTAGCTACATGTTAATCGTTAACTTCAGTGTTTCTTGACTATATTATTGAATTACCGTATATACAGTATTTTATTCATTTAGTTCTAAGGGCTTAGTCTCGGACTTATTACAAATTATTACATTTAAAAAGTGTTAGGAAAAAAATATGGGAATGTCAAGAGAATATATGAGACTGGAAAAATTAGGAGAAGGCACATACGCTACTGTATATAAAGGCAAAGAACGAAGGTCTGGTGAAATTGTAGCTTTAAAGGAAATCCATTTAGATTCGGAAGAAGGCGCGCCTTCTACTGCAATTCGAGAAATATCATTAATGAAAGAATTAAAGCACCCAAACATTGTGACACTTAAGGATGTAATTCATACTGAAAATAAATTAATGCTTGTTTTTGAATTTATGGACCAAGATCTCAAAAAATACATGGACACACATGGTAATCATGGTGCTTTAGATCCTATGACAATCAAATTGTTTATGTTTCAAATGTTGAGGGGAATAGATTTCTGCCACGAAAACAGAGTTCTTCATCGTGATTTGAAACCTCAAAATCTTTTAATCAATAAATCTGGAAAATTAAAACTTGCCGATTTTGGTCTTGCACGAGCTTTTGGAATTCCCGTTACCACCTTTTCAAATGAGGTTGTCACCTTATGGTATCGTTCACCTGATGTACTTTTGGGATCTCGATCATACTCAACCTCGATTGATATATGGTCTGCTGGTTGCATTATGGCTGAAATGTATACTGGTCGTCCACTGTTTCCAGGCACAACTAATGATGACCAATTGGTAAAAATCTTTCGTATCATGGGCACTCCAACAGAAGCTACATGGCAAGGAGTTACGCAATACCCTGATTATCATAAACAATATACAGCATACACTGCTCAAGATATGAGTCAATTACTCCCTATGATCGATCGTAACGGAATGGATTTACTTACTCAAATGTTAGTTTATGATCCAGAGAAGAGAATCACTGCAAAGAATGCGTTAAAGCATGTATATTTCCAAGATATATTAGAAAATTCCAATAACTACAACAATGTAATTCAATCAGGTCCATCTCCAATGAGAATCCCTGTACCTCCAATGACGGTATCTATGCAGATGGGTGCTATACCAACCATGCAAACAATTAACGTACAAGGAATGCATATTGTTCCTACAAATGTTAATATGCAAATGGGTGGTATACAGTCGGTTCAACCGATGATCGCAGTTCCTCAAGTAATGCCGATGATAGGCCATCCTCCAAATGCTCCTTCACAAGCACCGATGATGCCCAGACGAAATCATATGCATGATAATTATAACATTGAATAATTATTCAACAAGTTTAGACTGTTAAATAAGAGACATTTCTTTGAATATCTTTAATATATATATGATTATTTGTATTAAATAAATGTATAATGCTTTTTTTTTTTTTCTTAGAAATGAGTTGATGTTTGATTACATAATTTTTATTTATTTTATATTTTGAGATAATTAACACTTTCTGACTAATCTCGATGATATGATAATTTCTTATCTTACAGTACTCATCTACTCCATTGTTTTTCAGTCTTCAGTACACTATTTCTTTGCTTTACAAAATGTGCTTTGCCATCCAAGCTTTTATTTGATCCACTACGTCGTTCTTTGGGTATCTTTGAATTACCAATATTAATATTTACTCTTGGCGGTACTTGGAATCCAAATGCTTTCCCAACTTTTTGAAGATCCAAATTATTTAGATTAAAAATTTGTTTAAGTGAATAAGAAGCATAAGCGGTCAAATAAGATTTGAACCCATTGCGTGCGGATTGATGTAAATAATAGTTCTTTTCGATAAGTTTCTCCAACTATAGAGTAATTAGAAGTAAATATCAACATTAGCATTAATTTATAATTAACCAAGTCAATATTCGTTAATAATTCTCCCACCTGAGATTGAACATTTGCTATTTTGCTTTCTTGGAACTGATATTCGTTTAATGGAACTTTGGCATGTTTAAGATACCGCAAAAATCCAAGCTCACAGGGTAATAAAAACAGTAAGCTCTTTCCTTGACCACCAGCACGGGCTGTCCTTCCAACACGATGTATATAATCACGTGGATCATCTGGTGGATCATACTGAACAATATAGTCAACTAAAGGTATGTCCAATCCTCTAGCAGCGACATTGGTGCAAAGGAGGATACCATGATCAGCGTTTGTAAATTCAAAAAAGACATTTGTCCGCTTCGTTTGTTTTTGTTTTCCCTACGAAAATAAAATAAAATAAAATAAATATCAAGCTAAAAAGTTTATAGAAAAATATATTAGGCTATACAAAGTTAATTAATTGTTTCTCATAACATGTGAATTTAAAAATGACCCGCCCGCCCGGCTTTTAATTTTTTAATTATAAAAATTTTATATGTTTATTATTCAGAAAATATTAAAAAACATATAATTTTTTTTTAATTTTTAAAAAAACCCACCCGGAAGTATTTATATCGAAAATTTACAAAAGCTGACCCGACCGGGTTATGAGAAACAACTAATTAACTTTATATAACCTTATGTA